CAGGGTGCCTGAATGAAACGTAATTGTACACCTAACCCTTAATTGTACCCCACAAAATCATAATAAAAAATATTGATTAAAAAGTTAAAAAAAAAACATGCAGAGGGAGTAATGTCAATATAATGAAATGTATATGGGAAGGGATGATTATTTATTTGCAAAAAGGGACTCCCCTTTACTAAATAATTAAGCACTAGGTTTTTTAACATCATATGATCAGTTTCTGAAATATATTTATAAAAAATGATTTTACTCCCTGAAGAATGTAGCTATAGATTACATATAGAATCTGTGAGAAAAAATATTTAAGATTAGAAGCACAGTAATGTTCAAAACCTAATGTCAAAATCTAATTGGCTCAGTTTTGTTTCATAATTTTAAATTGCTCCAAAGCACCAATTATGATGGGCTATTGTCCAAGAAATAATAAAATCAGAGAAGAAGACAAGGTTAGATAAGTATTCAGCACTGAGCATTTCAACCGCAAACATCCTCAAGACATCACTCTGTAAAAGTTAACCCAGGCAGTGCCAACATATCTCTGAGACATAGAAATAAAAGATTATTTTGGAAAATCTCTAAAGTAGAGTCATGTCTTTTACATTGATGACATTATAAGCATGGAAGTATGGAACTGTATGGTTGAAACAAATAACCTATAATTATCAAAAAATACATGCGATAACAGATATATATATGTGTGTGTGTATATATATGTATATATATATAATGTTTTCAGTTTGGTTGGAAGAAGATATGTGTTTGAGTGTTCTATATACAAAGAGAAGTATTCAATTAATTAGAAATAGAGGTATATTTATGATGGAATCTAGAAGCAAGTAATGATAGCAGCTTATATTAATTTATCTTTGGGGATGGAATTATTTATTCTATTTGACAGCATAAGACCCAAACATTCTGGGAAAGAGCACATTATTTATAAGTAGATAACCTGCTCTTTTTGTACCATCTAATTGGCATCCATCAGAGTCAGTCTGAGTTTATGAGGGGGGGACCCAAAAAACCTAGAATTATTTTTTTGGAGGGTTGGGTCTTTGTAGTGTAAGCTTTCCCTGACCAGGAAATTGTTCTAGGAACTTATTGACTCCAGTATGCCAGCTAGTGTTTGTGTGAGAGGCTGTGTTTGGCTTTGGTGAATTGTTTTTTGGAGATTCTTTCAGTGCATTAGTCATTTCATGATGAGTGCTTTATACAAACCACCTACCCACACTATGCTGAGTGTTCAGCAGTTTTTGACTGAAAACAGCAAGTCTTACCCTCTCTATTCACCTGATCACACCCCAAGTGACCTTCCCCCCCCACCCCTGGAAAAAAAGAGTCCCCAAAGGGAAACATTTTGCCAATGTGGAAGAGGTGAAACAAAAAATGGTAGAAGCCATGAAAACTGACAAGTTCAAAAACCTTTGAGCAGTGGACAAGGTATCTCAATAGGTGTATTGCATCAAACGTAGAGTACTTTGAAGGTGACTGAAGTTGAAAACATGTAAAAGTAAATACACAATTTTTAAAATAAATAAATTCCTTTTTCTGGGTTTCCCCTCATATTCTATTTGCTAAGAGATAAAGAGGATCTTATTATTTACAATTTTACAATAAATTTTCCTGGCTACTTGTCATCTTACATTCCAGACCCAGAAGACCATGTTTTGTATTTGTGCTGAACTACATGAAGTTTTACCTTCTACTTACATGAAATCTTGAGGAAGTTTCTCTTTTGCTTATAAGTTCAACTAACTTTAACTTAAAATATTAGAAGCTTTCTTAAAGTATGATGACATTTTGGATCTGTTGGTTCTAGATTAAAGAACTTTAGTGAAGTGCTAGCTTGCTAAACAACTACAGGAAACAATACTTATTCGATTTTTTCAAATAATTGACCCCGGAATAAATATTCAATAGCAGTGGCTTCCCTCTGCATGGCAAGTCACTTTCTTATCTCCCAACCCCTTTCTCAAAAGACATATCTCCTTTCCTTGCTTATTAAAGCTTGTCACTAAACGATAGGGGCACTGCAGACATTTTATTTAAGTCTTTATTCATACTAAAATATTGCTGGAAAAAGACACATGTTAAGCCATCACTAGTTATTTTTATTTTAGAGTAAATGAATGTCCAGTTCTTTTTTTTGTGAGAAAGTTGTGTAATAGTTAGAAAGCCAAGGGAGGCTGGGAAAGTTGGGAAGGTGGACTGAGAAAAAAGTCTCACAGGGAAGAGGAACTTAATTCTACTCCTTATAAGCCTACAGTTATGTTTGGAGGGCTTACTTAAGTATATCATGCCATGTATTCAGCTGCAGAAAAGAGCATTAAATCTATAAACATCTCAGATTGGGCCAGGTTCAGAAGCTGCTATATAGATCCAGAGGCAGATTCCT